AATCAACTTTATATTTACAGTATGTCATTGCTTTATTCTGATACTCTTAATCTGATGCAGTACCATTTCAGCTAACGTATGTAAGTGACTCACTCTGAGATCCAGTACAAGTAGTCCAAATTGATGTTAGTCTGCACTGAAGGACAGTAACCTAGAAAATAGAGCTGGTTTGTCAATGCATCTCATATTACTTGCATCACTCTTTAGCTACCATCGATATCATGTATATTTCCAACTTGAAATATAAAAATTCTCCAAGAGCAATTTACAAGAAACATTAAAGTCTGAAACTTCTCAATACATCTATGCACTTGAGGTGGTCAGAAATAAAATTTAAAAAATCTTTCTAAAAATAAAAAACCCAAGTAACCCAAACATTTAACTTTTAGGAAGAGAAAGGGATGCCCCCTGCACCCTGCCCTCCCACCCAGCCCCTCTCCCCCCAGCCAGGTTATGCACAGCACAGTGAGGGAGACCCTGAGGTGGGAGCTTTCCCATCATGCAGCCCAACTGCACCAGGTAGTAAATGCCCCAGCCCCCTACTCCCCCCACAGGTCAGAGGCAGAGGAAGTCAAAGAGGCAGAGCTGGGGTATTCACTGCCAGGCTATGTTGGAAGAAAGCCCCCCTCTCAGGGACTTGCTCCCACATCCACTGGACAGATTCCAGTTAGGAGGTTAGGTGGGGGTCTCTTTCCCCCCACCATTCCATCATGGCTAAGAGGTGCAGGGGGCTGGTGAGGGGACAGGCCTGGGATGTTTGCTTCCTGGCAGGACTAGGTTGTATGGGGAAAGCCTCCAACTCATTGGATTCCCCCCCACACACTATGCAGACCCCAGCTCTGGGGGTCAAGGCTGAGGCAAGGGTCCATTCCCCTTTTTGCCCACCCTCCATACTGCAGCCAGCTTTTTTGGGGAAAAGAGGCTTTGCTGCTTCATCTCTGTGATAGCCTGGGGCCACCCCGCTTGGATGGATCAAAAGAGCTGGGCCACAGGTGAGCCTGCCTTGCAAGTGGGATTAGTGGGGGGCTGCAATGCATTCTGAGATTCCGGGGGACTGTGAACTAACTTGTTTTGGGAGGCGATCTGGATCAGAAGTTCAATAGACTGGTCAAGTCTGAAAACGTGAGGAATAGGAACAACTTTCATTATGAATACTTTTTGTCATTCCAAATCAAGTGGCATCATTTTGTGAAAATGTTCTACAAGGTGAATTTTGGAAAGGGCACTGTATAAAAAAAATCATTATTTGAAATGTTCACTCTTAATAACATGTACCTTTTCATTCAAAATCTTAACAAATCTCCTTAATTTACTTATATCACTTCTTTTTTAATATTTCCTGAACCCACACAATATTATCCTTTGGCATCTAAATATTACCATACCATTTTTCTGTAGCTTTGTGCCCCTGTGTTAAGGACCCTCAAAATCAACCAAGATGCTTCAAATCTTGTCATTTGAATAGTAGAAACTTTAAAAAATGAAATCTTATATTTAAAAAATTATGGAAAAACTTTGTATTAACTTTAATTATATATTAATTGGCTTCATTTATTGACATGTATTGTCTTTTTTCTGATTTTCACACTTTTTATTTTCATTCTCTTCCTGCTTTCAAATGAACTGAAATACTATGACGCTTGTCAAAAAATTATTGTAAAAAATAGGTAATATCAAAATAATAGTGTCCTGTGTTTGGTAGTAGAACAGGGGCTTTGGATCCTATGCAAATCTATTGATACACTGTAAATCCCACAGCATTTTATATTGTTTGTCATCGTGGCTCTAGGGATGACATGAGAGTAAGAGATAACAACACTGGATAGTCAAAATGAAAATAATTCCTTTCTGGTAGGGAAAAAAAAAAAAGAAATACTTGAAATCCACTAGCATGTGAATTTAGCAAACTTTGCTCAGTGCTGGCAATGCATTAGGCCCAATATCTTTCCTCTTCCTTCCTACTGGTATAATCTAGAATCATCTAGGTTAAGTACAGACAGACAAAATGTGCAGGTAGACTTGATCTAGTCTTTGCAGGTTTCTTAAATTGCATATATAACCCTTCTGCCGGGCATCAGTCAGCAGCAGCAAGGGCTGGGTTCAATTTTGGGGTCTAAATATATATTTACCTTGGCTCAAACCCCCTCCTATACCACCTGGGAAACACCCAGTTACTAGGATGTCCCACATAAACAAAACCCCCTCCTTGCAACTAGTGTAAATACAGAGGATACATTTATTACAGAAACAAAGGCAAAGAAAACACTAAATACAATTTAAAACACTACTAATTACAAGGCATATTTCATAGATTGCACCCTCTTGGGGAGGCTTCACCCATGCCCAGGCAGTCTGAGACTTGGGTCTTACCCAAAAGGAATTTTCAGGTCTTGTACCCTTATACCTGCCCTTTAGCAATGGGCTAGATGGATAGACTTTTTGGAGAGTCCTTTCAGCTGCTCCTTGGGTTCTCTAGGCCATGGGAAGCTCTTAGAGAGAAGGGGTCCTTCTGCATTGCAAGGGGCCCCTCATTGCTTCCTGTGATGCTGTAGGGTGATTCTCACTTCCATGTGGTGGCCTTAAGGGGTTAACTGTGCTTCCAGACTGCATGCCACACCCCTAAATTCCTCATCCCAATTCCAGCTCTGCAGGGCAGAAACTGCACAAAGAAAACTTCAAAAGAAAATTTAGGCCTACCTTACTGGGCCTGAACTGGCCAGCAAATCTGGCCAGCCCTATACTGCACTAAGGCCTGAACATATAGCTGGGGTTCACCCGTCCAGCTAGGGTGAAACGCCATAGCTATAGAAACAGCAAACAAAGCCCCACACCTATGGCTGCAGCCTGGACACTGGGTCTCAGCTATACCCCATGCTGAGATGATACAATTACAAAGCAGAAGCGTTCAGGCCCCTGTAGCCAGTAACTGCCAGGGCCCATTCCTGGGTACTTTGTTCCAGTGATTAAAACCTTCAGTGTGTGTTAACCCACCTAAGAGAAAAAAAGGAAAAGAAAGAGGCAGGAAATAGGAGTCTCAAACTCCCAAACAAACTTCCTTTCCCTCTGCCTGAGGCTTTTCCTTTAAATAGTGTTTGCTTGCCTCTCCAGGGAAAAGGGAGAGAGGGATATTCCCCCAACCTCCTAGGAGCAGGTTTTCTGGCTCCTAATGTAGCTGTACAGCTGTCATCATCCCCAGGAAAGAAAAAGCCCTAGTGACTCATTGTTATACATCTGGTATGACATCACCCAAAACCTGTCCAATCCAGGAGGACCACATTTCAGTCTTTATTCCAACCAATCTGCCTGAAGCATCTTTTGCTTCCTCTGGCCAATTAAGCCAGAGGGTTTTACATATTTTCCCCATTTACAGTCCCCAGCTTGTCATGTGCAGAGCACATGGCCAAAACAACAGGAACCATCTTGCCATATCAAAACATACATACACACACACACAAAACAATACACAACCCAGTGTATGTGTCAGTGTTACACATAGATTGGAACAATAATTACCAGAATTCACATTCACTGTTCAGTTGGGAAAGGCAGGCAGATGTCTACACTGGCCCATGCCAAAAGACAGGGGGCACCCAAGCACACCTTCCAGCCATTGCTGAGCCCAGATGCCTGGCTCAGGAGGGCCAGCATCAGGACAGGGGACTCCTTCCTCTATCCCCCCTGTGAGTCTCTGACTCACAGGGGTCAGAGCTGAGAAGCTGGCCCACTGCATGGGGGAGAGAATCACTCTTGCTATGGGGCTCCCATGGCTGGGCAGACTAGGTCTCAGGGGGAGCCTGGCCCAGGGTAGGGAAAACCTCCTGAGGTGTGGAGCTCCCCCAACATGGGCAGATGCTTGGCTTGTGGGGGGTGGGGGGGTAACACCAGGATAGACACTCCTTCCCCGCTTCCTGCTGCAGATCAGAGACTCTCAGGCTGTGAGGCTAAGTAGCCAGTGCAGCCACATGGGCAGGGAGGAGTAAGGAATACCCTAAGATGCCCTAGTTCAGGGGCTGGTGGGGGGCTCTTTTCCCTACCTGCTCCCCCACACTCTCTGCAGGGGAGACAGGTGTAGGCAGGATACACGCTGGGGAGCAGAGGCCTTGCTGCCTCAGCTCTTTCACATCCAGTGGGGTGGGGCTAACCCATCTTAGCAGGAGCAGAGGAGCCCAGGCAGAGGCTAGCCTGCTCTCCCTTCGAGGGGAGGGTCAGCTGGATGCTACATAGCATCCTGGGATGCCAGGGGACTGTGAGGTAACTTGAATCAGGAGCAGATCTAAGACAGAAGTTTGATAGAGCTGCCTAACCTAAAGTGATTCAGCCTGATACTATATCCATCCAGGTGTATCTTAAACCAGATTCTGCCATACTGAAACCAGTCTATGTCTATTCAACTTCTGTTCCATTACAGGTTTAGGCCAGTTTCCAATCACTTATACTGGTTTATGTGTAATTTTTGGGTGCCTATAGACATGCTGGGAGGCTGATTTGATGCACTGTAATTTAAAAGCACTTTTAATTAAAGCACCCCTGCCACCATGTTGAAGTGCAGGGACACTGATACATGAGACGCTGAGATACTTTAATTAAAGCATCTCTAATTAAAGCACCCTCCTCCCCCCAGTGCACATGTAAAAATGTCCTCTGTCTCTAGCCTTAGAAGCTGGTCTAGAAACTGGTATCATGTAGAATCTGATACCAACTGAAAAGCTTGGTGCCACTTAAGCCAAATATATAATATTTGTTGACCCATCATCAGTCTTTTCAATTATCTTATGGTGTCTATTAGAGCCATTTTAAAGAAATCATGTTATTGTGAATTTTCCAGACTGATTTATAGTCCTGAGGTTTAGAGGAGTATTCAAGCCATTGAATGCTTAGCTAAGCTAAACCTCCAAAACTGCTTATATGTGTCAATCTTCAGTGAAAATATAACAATTTGAAAACAAGTTTTCACAAATTCTCAATACTCATAATTCTCAACTTTACTGTCCACAGAGAGTGAAGAGGTATACCAACGGCAGGTGCTGTCTATTTCCTGTATCGTCTTTGGCATAGTCATAGTGGGCATGCTCTGTGCAGCATTCTACTTCAAAACAAAGTAAGAATATTTGTTTAGTGTGTTTTAATTTCTTTCCTATTTTATGGCTTTTCACCTCGTCAGTTTCTCCACCACTATAAAATTCGGTAATCTCGCTGGAGAAATATTCAAACAGCAGGTATCTGTATGTCTGATTTTCCTAAGTCTATATATCCGACTCTGCAATAAATGGCTTTAAAATATAATATGTTCTCTACTAGTGAAATATGTTTCTCCTACTAGTGAAAAAGTCCTTGTTTCCCTTGTGTTATCAGTTTCTCTTCCTTGAATTTAGTCACTTAGGCCTCCCAGTATTATGATATTGTCTGACTCTGACCTCAGTTACACCAATGTAAATTCAAGGCAGTAAATGTGTTTTTTTTTTTTCCTTTGGAAAATAAAAGGTTAATCATGCTGTGTCACCTTTGCACTTCATTTCATCTCCCCTAAATACTCTTTTGTTTATGTATGATGAGAAAAAGGGAAAGAGCTAGCAACACAAAGGCAGCCACCAGAAAGTGTTACACAGATTGCTAGGAACTGACTGTTAATAGTCTGTAAATGACTGATCTTGTTAAATAACAAAATAACCCTGAAACAAACAGGAAACATGACAACAACCTCTTAATTGTGTGTGATTTGTAAGAAAAAGCTTTTCAAGCAGCAGTATTCTCTTCCCATTTTTTATGTTTCCCTGTCGTTTCTACTGCTCATTATCTTTCAAATCATTTGTGTTATTTCAGTTAGAAATACCTCAAAGCTGAAAATACCATGTAGATAATTAGATGTGATACATGTTAGTACAACCTTATAAATAAATGTCCTGTATGTTCCCCCAACCCTCCTCCCACTGTAGTCAGTGACTAAATTCATGCCAGATTCAATGTTAGCTGGATTTGATTCTTTACAGTGGCTGAAATTCAGAAGTTTTAGAGGCTTGTATTGGAAAAGTATCCAAAAGTTTGGGTGCTTATCCAAACCTCTTGTGTTTGCAAAATGGTGGAAAAATCATGAAAAATACCTCCTTTGTGATGTTGCAGCATTTCTATTGTCAGCTTCAATTAGGAAGTGCAGAGGTATTATATGGAAAAGAAAAGAAAAATACTATTTAGGATAAGTTATCAGAGGTTTTTTAAACCTTAATGAAAATTTTGATTTGTGTTTTGAGTGAAGGCTTTGTTTTCACATTTTTCCAAATACATTCAACCTGATTTACTACCTTTCCTTTTGCAAAATATTTCATGAGCCAAAAGTCTTATTTAGATGCAGACCAAAAGCACAGGGTGGGAGAAAATATACCATTTTTCTGTATAAGATCTTCTTTTAGAATTTATTTCCCAGAATAGGTGCAACCTTACCTCATCTAAAAGCAAAGTTTTGTATCTCAAATTTGCAAAGGAACAAAGAGCAAGTTTTTTTTCTCTCTGTTTTGGTCTCTCCTCACCCTTCTCTCTCCTCCCCACCCAAAGGTAGGAGGTAAGTAAAGTGGATTATAGAATACCATATTCTCTTGCATACAAGACACCTCAAAATATAATAATAAGGCAGAATAAATATATACATATATATTTTTCAGGGTTATGGCTTCATAGAGAAGGGGCTATGAGACAGCCTGATAGAGCCAAATCTTCAGATGATTTAGCCTCTCCCCACTTTCTTGATGAACTAAATCTGAACCCCTAGCTTCTCCTAAAGACTAGTCTTCATTAGTAGATCTATGACTCTGGAAAGAGCTAAAGAGCCTGTGAAATAGGAGAAGTAAACCAGAAATAGCTAGAAGACAAAAAAATTGACCTAACAAAGGTTAGCTTGATTAGTGGAACTTCAAGACCATTAAATGGAGAGACTATTGTTAATACTTTTAGATTGAAAAACAATGAAAAATTAAGTCAATTGATGCCCTTAGCTCTCTGAATAATAATGCAACATCTGCTTCAGTGTGAAGCAGGAATCTAACCAGGATGCATTGTATCCTGTGCAGAAAATCAGCTTCCCCAGTGAATACATACACCCCTATTTTTGGGGGGAAGTCTGTGTTGATTTTGGGGGGGAAAGTCTGTGTTTTGTGTGAGAAAATGTGGTAGATGCTGAGAAAAATAAATTAAAAAGTAGAAAGAAATACTACAACCAAGGAACACAATAAGAGGAACATTCTCTCTCTCTCTTCCAAAACTTGTTATCTATCATGTCCCTGGTTATTCTACTGTGGGAAGGTAGTGGTAAGCGGAGACATCACTTCAACCTATCAAAGCTCATGGGGAGAGTAATATTTCATATAGTTTGCTCATAGATTAGTGAATTGCATCATGAGTCTGCTAACAATTCAGGAGAAAGCAGAAAGCTGAGATTGAGACAGAACAGTTCCCTGTGCCAGATCTGAGAGCTATAGCTTAGAAAATACTAAGGCGATCATACAGTACTGTCACTAACAATGTGAATGGAACTGAATTCATCCTCCATGCCCAGAGCAAGTTGGAATTCAGTATTGAAATGAATCCTTCATACTGTTAGAGGCCTAATATGCCACACACAGGAACCAAAAGCACCAACCAGCACACCTTCCCTGATACCCTAACTGTGGACCTATCTGACTAGTACTGCCAGACTATGTCAGAAATTGAATTTCCTAACTAGCCTTCTGCTTCCTTCTAGGAAAGCTTTGGCCATGAGCACCCTCTCAGATTATTGCTCAGGATAGTTACTGAAGGTCATAAACCTCATAACTTCATAAACTTGTTGCCTCAAAAACAGGTAGTAGAATAGGTCTGCCACAGCCTGAAGAAGACAGGCAGTGATAGGCATTTTGAAATGTTTGGAGGGTGGCAAGTGGAAAAGCTAGATGCTACGCAACACATTTTGCAGTCCAGAGCAGAGTGTTATCCAAATCCTTCCTCGTTAGTGAGATTTGCCTATCAGTGGAAATGATACACACCACCACCAGTACAAATTGTACAAGTTATACCACCATTATAACTAATAGGACTGTCTGAACAGTGACTTTCTGCCAGCACCTGGATTTTTAAAACTCTTTATATCCATTCTTGCTGCATGACAGTGTACTGTTGTTAAGAGTTCACCTTACTAAAAGATAAGCCAGGTACATTCCTTAGAACGTCTAGTTCCTAATCATAGAAGAGGTGCTCCAGGAAGCATTTCACATGTCTCCCTCATCCTGCCCTGACACACATGCAGAGCCCAAGATCCACATATAATAATTATACATGGCATATACAAAAATTAAAATGTCCATAAAATTCAAGGAATCTCTGAAGAAGACAGTCCTGCTAAAAACAATATTTTGTTAACAAAGCAAGCCCAATTTACTTAGCTTAATTCTGGAACCTAATGTTACTGCATATTTCTCCATTCATTTTCAATTTTCCTTTTTAATGACAAGAACTACTTTTTAATATACCGTCAAAGGAAGTATAGGATTTTTGGTTACCATATAACCTTGCAGGTATTCATTTGGGGGTTGTTATAAAAGTGTTTTAAGAGTTTAAAACAGAGGGGCAATGCTGCAATGAGAAACTGGGCCACTATTCTTTATGACTTTGATGTTTAATGACACTGGTGATTTGAATTTGAATTTCTTGCTGAAGAACAGAAGTTAATAATAGCTTATTTTGTCTGCCAACAGAACATCTATAAAATAGAATGCATGAGACCCATTCATTATACAAATTCAAGTTTGAAATAAATATTTTAAATGGCATGTGACTTTTAAATAATAACTTCATAAGCCCAACTTTTTCCAGCTTTTATATTTAAAGCATATACTATAGCTGGAATTTAAACTTAGTAAACAAGTTGCGTATACATAAAACAGGAGAGAAGAGTTAAATATTAGATCCTTTTGTTTGGCTGTCATAATTTAGGTCATGGTTTGTATTGAAATTCTATTTATAAATAGTTTATAAAAAAGATTAATAGATCACAGTTATTTTAACAAATGTCCAGATGATAGTTATATAGTCCAACAAGTCAATAAACTATTTCCAAGCATGGCCTGTAAACTGCTAAACCTAGAGATGGTCAGAAATTTTTCAGCAAGACATCTGTTTATCAGAAAATTGTGAAAAAAATTAACTGTTCAGAAGAGTTTGTTTGAATTTTCCATTTAAATTTTCTTTTTTAAGGTTTGAAATATTTGAAACACTTCATTTTGGTATTTTTAAAAATTAAACAGTTGCAGGTTTTTTGGTTTGAAATGTCTTTGGATTTTAATAGTTAAGTACATTTATAGCGAAATATATAAAGTGAATATATATATATGTATATATATATATATATGTTTCAAAATTAAACAAAATATTTCAATTGATCACATCCATTTTCCCCATATCTTCATGAACATTTCTAAGACATTTTCAACTACCCAAAAATAAAAATAAATTGTAGGCTAGGAAAGCAACATGCCTGTGCAAAACATACGAAGAATACATGCTTGCATTAAGCTGGCTCTTAAACTTGAGTGAGATTTTTATTATTATTATTATTTTAGCTTGTGCTTAGATGCTGTGCTGAATTACGGTTTAAAACTGCAGGTCAGTAGAGACTGAAGGGCCTGAGAATACATTTGCTTAAGTTGGAAGATAAAATGGATAGTCAGGGATTTACATGCCTGTTCACAAACATTTTTCATCTTGCTTCTGTTCTATGGGTTAAACTTATGCTGATCCTTATTTTTCTGTTGTACATAGAGTGAACACAAAGCAGAATTTTATATCAGATACATTTTATGAAATGTTCACATTTCTTCATTTCATATTTTACTTTCAACTCTTTTGAATCTTAAGTATTTCCTAAATATATTTGATGATATATCTGAATCCTGATTTGATTGTGGATTGGTAAGCAATGCATTTACATACTTCACACAGCCTAATTGCACAATTTTTCCTTTTCAAATTCATACAAGATTGTTTGAATTCCTGATTGCTATCTGAAATCCAGGACCATGCTAATCATAGCTCCGTTTCCCAGGTATTTTCCCCCACATTCTTTAGTCTGCTTCTTTAATTCCAGTTTATTATTTAGGCCTGGCAAATTCTGATTTTTTAAAACAAATTTAAATTTCAACAGAAAAAGTTGAAAATATCTTTCTCTATTTTAATAAATAATACATCCTATTTTTCAATCAACTCTATATTTTAACTATTTCTTTCTACACCTAATTTTCTTCTCCCCTCTTTCCTTTCACATTGCAGTGACTTATTCTTCCTTCCATTTTCTGCTTTGATCTGTGAGGAGAGTTGTCTATCCTCCTTCCTTTCATCCAACCTCATCCAATTTCAAAACCTACTGAAATTAGTGAAAAGAATCCCATTGATGTTATTGGGCTTTTGGTCAGGTCAGCAATGAGTAGATCAGTGATAAGACTTTTGATGTCTTTATATTGTTGATTGTTGAGACTCTTGGACTCCATTAGTCATATTGGGCTTGAATGCACAAAGTGCACCCTTAAGGCATCTTTACATGTGCTCTGGAGTCAGGGGGAGGCACTTTAATTACAGCAGCTCCCTGCACTTCAGAAGGGTAGGAGGTGTCTTTTTTACATATTTCAAAAGGGCAGGACGGGTGCTTTTTACACCTGACTCTGAGGCTGAATACATGTGACGCTGAGGCTGCTGGAGCGTGCTACTTATACTCGATTAATAGAGTCTGCTCCAACACCTGCTTATTAGTAGGGATTGGGCAGGAATGTAGGTGCCCTTAGTTCCTCTGAGAGATGCTTGCATTGTAAAGCATTCAGCACTAGAATAAAGCATTCTGGCACCTTAACTTACCTTATCACTTTCCAAGATTAGTCTCATAATCAAAGCTGTAGATCATGTAAGGGTGAGTCTTACCAATAGGATTTTTGTGTCCTGGAACCTTCCCATGTGTATGTGGCCTTTATTAGGGACACACTTGGAATGCTGCTGCAGCTCCACAAGCTCACTTCTGTAATCAGAAAAGGAAATATAACTATTTTTATGGATTTATTTCTTAATGGTGTAAATCATGATTGTATGAGCAGTTTTTGTGAACAGAACACAGCAGGTCACCCAGCAGGAAGGGAATGTGCAGCCCAGTGGCAGATACATCAAGCAGCAGAAATCATAGCAGCAGATGGCAGGAAGCACAGTGCAGGAAACAGAAAGCAAAGCATCAGACCAGGCAAGGAACAGAAAGAAGAGCAGTAGATTGGGCAAAGGAAAGGAACGGAAGTGGCACTAAGGGTTTAGAAATATTAGACAGTATTAGATCAGCTGCCAGATTGACTTGGTTGTCAAATTCCTTAGAAGGGTGTAAGACTAATTTGTGGCACTCCTACCACAAAAGTTCAGCCCCACTGGTTTAATGCAGCAGCACCGGTTTAAGGTAGTCACATACTATGTTGATTATCAAGACTAAATGAAGAATCACAGAGTGAAAGGCCAAACATTGTATTCATCTACCAGTTGTTGTCCAGCTGATCCATATCTGTATTCGGAAGATAAAATAAACCTTTAAAATGCATCCCATCCTCAGTGATGTATTGAAATTTAGAACTTAGAATGACAGTACCATAATGCACTAGAAACAGAAATGCAGTATTAAAATGTGTGGGTGTTAACTCACCTAATAATTCTCCCATCTTTGGCACAAATCATTGGTTCACTTCCAATAACATAAATTGGTTATGAACCTATTGTTGACACTTGAGGTCATAGCCGAAGATTTTGTCTGTCCAAAGAAGCAGCTTGATTATTAAAGCCTGTAAACTAAGCATCATTTCTTTAATACTTTGCAAATACAATTCAAAGATCCTTTAGCAGTTTTTATAACAAATAGATAATAACAGTGGTATCATGCCCAAAAATCTCCACTACGAATAAAAAAATGTTTTCAAGTATCCAGAGCCATTTGAGAACTGTTGTTAAATACTTAATGGATAATTCCTTACAAAAATACTACAATGCCAATACCTAGTTTAATACTGAAATAATCAGAAAAAGGAAATTATTTAAAATAACAAACTCTCTTCTTCCGCGTTTTAAATTTCACTAGATTTTAACTGCTGCATTGAAATAGTAGATAGTGTTAGATCAGCTGCCAGATTGACTTGGTTTTCAAAACCAGTAGGAGCTGTCTGTGTATAATTACCTATCATGTGTATCATCACTGAACAGAAACTGTGCGACTGTAGCAACAGGGAAGCATGAATATGAGAATATCAGTTATTGAAATAGAGAAATCAAACAAATTCCCATCTGAATTTTATTTGTACCTGCAGAAAACAAACAAAACAAATTCAGGAACAGCTGAAAGAAACACAGAATGGGAAAACCTACAGCTTAAATGCTTCCAGTATGATGGCAAAATCAGAGACCTTGGCCCAAAACAGAGTCCAGCTACAAAATGTAAGTAAACTTTCCAAATTCAGCACTCAACGGTCTGGTAAATTACAGGGTGATCAGACCTGGGTACTGCTGTTACCACCTTTAAAATGATAATACGACTTATCTTATTTGTAAAATACTTTGAAATGTAATGATGAAAAAAACTATTATTAATATTATTTCCAATATTACTTTATATCTCTTGTTGATAGGGCCAAGAAGGAATAGGAATTTCCATTTGTTCTTGAGTGATTTTAAATTGTCCAGTATAATCTATTAAGAATAAAAATGAACTACAAATAATCTCCATATTGTTCCAGAAGCTACACCCTGCACCATATATGTATTAGGCCTGTGCGAAGCAGCTAGTATTCACTTCGGATTCAGATTCAGCTGATTTGGGGACAGTGATTTGATTTGATGATTCAGATCACTGTCCCTGATTCTTATTCAGAGACTTGGCTGCTGTTGAGTCTCCAAATCACACAGGCCCATCCCCCACCCACTCTCTCAGCCCTGGCATGACTACCCTGCCTGCCCTAGCTCCTGGCTCTTTGAAAAAAAAAGCCCCAACTCACCAGGTGCTGCTGGGTGGAGATGTGATCCTTGCTTCCCCCGACTGCCCCACTGCTGTGTGGGGGGCTCTGCATGCCCCCCCTGACCTTCCCCCTGCTGTCCCAGCCCCTGCCCCCCATGGCTGCCTTGCCTATCCCAGCTCCAGCCCTTTAAGTAAAAAAAACCTCAAAACCCTGGACGCACCAGTTCCTACCCAGCAGGGGATGATCCTTGCCCAGCAGGGGATGACCCCACACTGCCCCACACCATGTGGGGGCTCTTCCATGAGCCCCCCAAAGCCGCTGCAGTATCTGGTGAGTGTGGGTTTTTTTCTTTTTTTCTTTAAAGGGCCGGAGCTGAGGTGGGTGAGGCAGCCCTGTGGGAGCTGAGAGAGTGAGGGGGGGCTCAGGGAGCTCGTGACAGAGCCCCCCATACAGTGGGGTGCAGTGGGGGTCAGTGGGGATTGCCCCCCCACCCCCACTGGGAAGCACCTAGTGAGTTGGGGCTTTTTTTTAAAGCACGGGGAGCTAGGGCGGGTGAAGCAGCCATGAGGGGGGAGTGGGAAGGGGTCAGGGGAGGCTGGGAGAGCAGGCATGGAATGCAGCCTGGCAGGGGTCCCCCCATGGTCCCTTCCCCTCTCCTCCAGGCCCCCCTCCCTTGCCCACTACTTACCAGTTCTGAGTCTGTCTCCAGCTCCCAACTGTATCAGGCAGGGACTGCCTGAATCATCGAAGCTCTCTGAATCTTTTCCAAATCGATTAAGAGGGCTCCTAATTGATTTGGACCTTTTTATTGGTCCCCTGATTTGATTCGGATTTAGAGATTTGGCCACCGAGTTGGGCCAAATCTCCTCCAAATCAAATCAGCACCTGAAGCTTCACACAGCCCTAATATGCATGCACCATAATCTGAAGATTTGAAGTGTCCATAAAGTATCATAATCAGTGATTTATGAATCAAGTTACATGTAAATTAGGTGCAATCCCATGAGCATGAAGTATTTAGAAAGGGAATTGTAAACAAAATAAGTATCATTGTGCCCTTCTATAAATCTATGGTGCATCCATACCTACAATACTATGTACAGCTTTGGTCTCCAAATGTCAAAAATGATATAGAAGAACTACAAAAGCTACACTGAAAGGCAACAAGGATAATCCAAGACACTTCCCTATTAGGAGAGTCTGAATAAGCTAAAACGTTTCAGTTTAGGAAGAAGACACTTGAGGCAGGGACCTGAAAGAGGTCTAAAACTGCTAAATGATGCAAAGAAAGTAAATAGGGATTAATTATTCACCATTTATCTCAATTCTAGAACTGAAACTACTAAGTAGTAGGTTTAAAACTAACAAGGGGAAAGAAGTTATTTTTTACACAGAATTCAATTAATTTACAGAACTCACTGCCACAAGATCAGCTGGAGGATCATACCGAGTTCAAAAGAGGATTGGACAAATTCTTGGAAAAAAGGGTCCATCAGCAGGTATTGATCATGGTAGATAGGAGTACAGTCCCTTATTTGGATCTTCCTAAGCCTTTGAAAGCTGGAAACTGCAATGAGAGAGGAGCGGGAAATGGAAGATTTTGGACATGCCTCTTCTCCTCAGAATCCATATTCTGCCACCTAAGCTCCTCACAGAGATTCATTTTAAAGTGTGATGGGATCTAATCTGTGATCCCAACAATTGCACCTCCTGCCATGCCACATGTGCATGGCAAAATATGCAGTTTTGGGACCAGGGATTAGATTCAAATCACATCTTATTTGCCAGTGCAGGGGGAGCCCTGGGATCACAATCCTGGGCTCCCCCTGCACCAGCAAGTTGAAACCTTGGTGATGACAGTCAACTGATTTTTAATTTGGGCAGGCAGAGTTGGTGCTAGGCAGGGTTTGGGTGGGATATAGCCATCCCAAAATTTGTGGTAGGCCTCCTGTAGCCACCCCTCCCAGCGCCACCCCTTTCCAAGCTCTCTCCTAGGTTGCTGCTGCCCTCCCTGCACAGCTGATCCCACCTCACTCCTGCCCTCAGCCCAGCCTGGCCCATGGGGCCCATGTCCAGAAGATGTGTAGCACAGACCCCCAATTTTCTGTCTAGCCCACCTCAGCCCCCTCACTGGGAAGAGGCTGGCACTGCCCCTGAGGGCCAGGAGCTACCCATAGATATGGAACCAGCCACAGTTTGGTCCCTGTTCCAAGCTGAAAGTTGGCTGATTGTCAAAATGTCAGGTGATGGCATACAGGGTTTTATTTGTCCTAGAGCATGGGTATGCTGGGATCAAGGTGCCACAGCCCGATCCCTGAGTCCCTGTGCCCCGAGATGGGTAAACATCATCTTTGCCATCAAGTTAAGTGGCACATGCAGATTTTACAGTTCGTGGTTTATGGGGACCATATGTCACACATGGTTAGTACAGGTCCCAGAACACAGGGACCCTAGGGTTAGGGAGTCTCTCCCCATTTTCTGACACCCTTAATGCATGGGACCTTGGGATTTGGGAGAGGCTCCTTGATCCTGAGGTGCCCATGTGCTGGGATGTCAGAAAACTGAGTGTGCAGGCTAGTTTCACAGGTGGTTTTTAAAGGTCTGAGGCACAGTGAGCCAAAGATCAGGGTGTCAGGCTCACCATGCACCCCATCTGCCTCCAGGGGTCAGGTACAAGTCTGGAGTCCACAGACTGGTTGTGCTCCTAGCCCAACTGGATAAGGGATAACTGTGTCCTGGACCTCGGTCTACCCCATTCTGGATCCTGACAGGATCTGGCAGGAGCCAGCCCCAACCAGCCACATGTTCAGTTTAAAGCATGATAAAAATAAGTTGCTCCATTATATGTGGAGCAACTATGTGGCTTATTTACTGTATTATCATGCCTTAAATTGACTTGACCTTGTGGCTGGGTTACTATTTTAAGGTGTGATTGACCTGTTAATCACATATATGAATTGGGATGGCATCAGGGGCCCTATGGTCTGACTGAGTAAATGGCACTTTTTATGTTCTTATGTCATTGGGCATGTAAAAAAAACCCTACACTGAAACAATGATATTATATTTGAAAAACATCAAAGTATTTAGCATCTATTCCTAGTTACTTTCTAAAGGTCACATTCTCCTTTTCTCCAAATCATACACTGCTAGTCCAGCCCATTTTTTGATGAACAAAGACATGGGAAGCAAGGAACAAAGATACTGGAACAAATGAACAAAGATCCTGGTGGTGTACCCAGAATTAGAGCATAATAGGCAACCACAGAAGATGCATTAAAGCCTCTCTAAATGCTTAAATTTCTCTTTCTGCATTTTTATTTCATTTTTGAATCCAAGAAATCATCACATAAAATGCCATTTACACTGCGCTAAACAGATGCAGAGACAGTGAAATGTTAATCTCATAAACAAGCTCCTGTCTCTTTCTCAAATTTTGTTAAAGTTCATTTTATAATTGTAGATATATTTCTTCTCCGTTTTTGCTGGATGAGATGAACAACAGATTTTATCATTAATCCTAGTTGAATTTAAGGTTACATCATATAATTCCCACCTGTGAGTTTGTCAGATCTTTTAAGATATGAAAGGGTTTTACCTGGTCAGGTAGGTAACAATATTAAAGTTCAGCTAGAAGTAGAACAGACAGTTCAGTAAGTCACATCTGTACCTCTGAGTCAGTATTAAACCATCCATGCCAACAGATTGCTAAAAAAGTACTCTAGCCTCATCTATACTTTGGTTCAATCTTAGGTGCCAAATTACAAGGACCCCTTTTAGTAATTAAGGAATATTTTTTTTGAGACTCTATAGACTACTGAAATGATAGGTCCAGTTCACCCATATGCTGCAGGGTTTGACTTGGCATGGTAGACAGAGCAAACTTTGTGTCGATCCAGTTAGCCTGAAACTGTTTATAACTAGTTTAGCAGTATAACCCAAATCATTTGAAGTCATAGAACCTGCACTACAGAAAGAAGAGCTTCTGGATTATTATTTATGTTTATTAAAGATTCTGTGACTTTTTTTTGGAAGACTGCCTCCAATAATACTGGCCTGATTTCAACTTGTGATGTCTTTTGAATTTCCCCATGATTTAATTTAGTCTGGTTCCATTACTCATTACTCCTTCCCATTACAAAACACTGTATCATGTTGTGTTTCTGGTTCATGTTTGCAGTTTATTTTTCCTGAATGAATAATAGGTGAAGTGAAATCTGTAAAGTGCTTTTGTGATGCTTTTTTCTACTATAAATTATGTCTCAGTTGTTATTAAATGTACTCTCTCTGTTTTCCTTCAGACATAATTCAGTAACATATCTTTAGGACCAACTTTGTGAAGAATTATATAGTGTCTTTTGAGCATTTGTGAAAGAGTCCACAAGCTTCAACAATGACCTTTTCTTTTGCCATACTAGTGCTTACATCACCAGGAACAACCAAAATGCCTGAAGGGGTAGTTTGTGAATTTCTGTTTCTAGA